TTTTTATATTGAAAAATCTCAAAAAAAAAATTTAAAATTCCAAATTAGTCTTTATTTTAAATATTTTAATAACAATTACAACACATTTTTTTTAGAATGCTTATCTTCTTGATTGGGTAGATTAAAATTTTCTATGCCTCCTAGTTTCGAATAAGTGGAGTACCGCTTCAAGAATTTAGGTGCATATTACTTTCACTCCCTTGGCAGTCTTAAAATCTAAACAGTAGTAAAAGAATTTTCATAACGAAATGACATGCCAAGCTTAACTTGTATAGACAAAAAGCCAGAGTCAATATAGTTTCCTTTTCTTTTCTCATGTTTTTGGTTAAATACTGATCTATACATCTTTGCATGCCATTGAAGGCTTATGTTCTCCCAGAACAAGCAAAGCTCTTGGAATTGGTGGATCCACGTCATGGATCAAACTACTCCCGAGATAAGGCCATGAGAATGCTCAACTTAGCTCTCTTATGCACCCATCCTTCTCCCGCCCTCAGAGCCTCTACGTCATCTGTGATGAACATGCTTGAAGGAAAACCTGCAATCCACGCAACAAATAATGAAGCCGACGGATTCAAGCCAGGAAATGTTCAAAGCCTCTGAGATGCTGTCATATGACAGCCAGACATCTATAGTCTCTCAAGAAAGCATGGGACCAAGAGGCAAGTCAATAGATGATGGGTCGCGGGTTGACTTCTCAACGTCTCTTTCAAGTATCTAGGCGATGATTTTTCTTCGTCCACTCGCCATCTTGGACATTAAATTATTAGAAAGCTAGTTAGAATTTAACTTTGATAAACACGCGCACACACTATCTTCTTTTGCTACTTCAACGTTTAATTTGTTTACCTCTGTTTTTGGATCCAGAAAACAGAGAAAAACAGAGTTTCTTCCATCACCTTGTCTGTCTATTGCTTTTAATTTTTGTTTTGCCTTCTTTGCAAGTTCCAGCCAGCGTACTTGGAGGGGAAATGAGAGGATTTTTGGTTTGGTCAAAGGAAAGAGCCGAGAAAAAATGGCAACTTGTAATATGCCATTTTGCATCCATTAGTGCTGCCTCAAGCATATAATTTACTTTTAACTTTCTCTTGTTTAGGTGACCGACAAGGGATCAATTCCATGATCCATCAGTCAGCTTTTTTTTTTTTTGGATTACTCCATCCGGTATTCCAGGGAAATAGGCGTCTTTCTGACAACGTCCCCAGACTAATCCGGATTCGGGGGCTTGCAAGGATCCATACGGACGGCGTCTCCTGGCCCCTTGGAGTGCTGCGTTCCCACGTCTCAAACCCGAGATCTGTGGTTAAGCTAGGACGACCCCAACTAGTCGACCTAACCCCGTGGGATTTCCATCAGTCAGCTTTTTAATATGCTAACGCGCAATATTTCCAAATTCATTATTTTCCGCCCCACTTCTAGTGCGTGTGTGTACACACGGAAAAATATGACAAATAAGGAAGTTAAAAAAATATGATATTTTAAATTAAACACTTTAGGAGTTGAAAATGACGGAGAAAGAAATAGTGCCTGTTATGATATTTTGTAAACGTAGTTAAGTAACTAAAATGCTATATCAAAAAATTTATTAACAAATTCTGAACTGGTAATAATAAGTGTTGAATAATATATGGCAAGAAATATATTGACAATGAAAAATTATTTATTAACAAGTTTTGAACTGACAGTAACAAGTATTGAACAACTAATGATAATAAATATGCAGATAATGATAAGTTTGAAAGCTTATTTTTTCAAATATAATACAAAAGTGTTTTAGTCATTTAACTATATTTATAAAATATCATATCAAACACTATTTTCTTTATGTCATTTTTAATTCTTTAATGCTTGAATTAGGAAATGATAATTTTATATTCTTCTTCTGAAATTTTTTCAATTCTTGATTATAGATGAAGGAGTATCTATAGGGATAATTTAGAAAAAATTGATAAATATAAAAAATAAATCTTATATTTAAAAACAAAATCAACACAATAATTAAGTCTTATATTAAATATCGGAAGAGGATTTATAAAGTCATGTTGGCGAATCGCGACTATGTTACAGCTAACCTAATATTCACATTGGTTGATCTATGGTGATCTTATTTTGACCACGACAATGAAGACTTCGTTGGGACCACACACACATTCTTCTATTTATGACTAAAACGGGCACAATCAGTAAGTAGTTAATGCTCCGGCGGCCCCTGGTGGCCTTAACTTTTGGGCATAACTCCATCCAATTTTTTTTTTATTAAAAAAGGAAAAAATAATAATAAAGTTCCGTACCGTGTGCCAAAATTCATGCTACCCGGAAGAGTTAATCATTTTCCTTGGCATATAATTCATCTTACATGTTACTTACTCTGTAATGATGATTTGATTATACACACACACACGCTCCTCTGGTCCTGTAAGTATTTTCAATTTCACATAGAACAACTTTACATAAAACAAAAAAAAATTTTAAACTGTATTAATCCTCTTTTCAAACATAATAATTTTTTAATTTTATTCCTATTTAATACATAAACTTTTAAAAAAATAACTATCTACATTATAATAAATTAAAGATAAAAATTTAATGAGATAATTTATAAATAAGACTACAAAAAAATTCTCTCTTCTCTACGTTATAAACAGGAGCGAGGGATATATATATATATATATATATATCTCTATTGTATAACCCGTTACAGGTGAAACTCCACTCACTCTCATTCCCTCCTGTAAATCCTTCTTGCTCTAGGCAAAGCCTTGCTGGTCTTCCAATCAATGGAATCTGCCATTTCAAGCTCCAAACCTTCCTCTGTATTCTTGTTGGGGTTTCTGCTGCTAAGTTTCTTCACAGGTTTTCAATCAAAAGCTCAACTTATACCCCAACAAGAAGGTACTTTCTTCAGCACTGCTGTCTGCCTTTCATTCGAGTCTGGTCATTAATAGCTCCTGCTCATTTCCCAAACGATCAATTATTAAAAGACACATAAACGTTCTGCTATTTTGATGTTCTTTTAATATTCGGACCGCTGCGGCAAAAAAAAACAAAACCGCTTCCCCTCGTATAGACAATTAGACATGGATGACATTACAAAAGGTGTTTGATAGTGCAAGTTGGCTCTGAAAAGGACTGAAACTTCTGCGTCCCTTTCCCCCGTTTTCACACTTTCGTCTCTTTACCGTATCCGGGTTTTGACGGATCACAAAATGTGATGCACTTTATGATTGGGTCACTAAATAGTTAAGCTTATCTTAAACGAATTTTCCCATACGGGAAATGAATGTGCCATTTACTTTTCAAAAAGGGAAGGCTTCCAGATGGAGATGGAGGGGTAAGACTTTCTCCTCTTCTCCACGTTCGTTCATGCATGAGAATTTTAAAGGTGAATTATTACGAGATCTGAAAAAAGATAATTAAAAGTTGTTATTTTCTATTTAAAAACTTATCTTTACAAGTTATTTTGTTATTATTAAGATTTTTTTAATGATTATATTTTTTTAATTAAGACATTATAGTAATTCTCTCAATTTTAGACAAAGATGGGGAGTCAATTCTGTTGTGCTGATCAAAAGAGATTGTCTTCCGAAAATAACAGTAAACAGTCAAAAGGTGGTCCAATAATACAATGAAAACAGTGCAGGCGCCACCGCATTTGACCCCACACTTTTTATGAAAATGACATTTTTGGATTTGTTGTACGAAAAAATAAAAATTGTAAGCCACTTTTTCTAAAATGCTCCAAAGAAAGAAAAGGAGAATGAGAAAATTTGTGAAAATAATAAGAATTGTTTCAGTGGAAAAATATTGAATGAGTGAGACGACCAAAACAAATTGTTTTAACTAAGCATTATATAAGGATTAAAAAAATACTAATAATTTTTTAAGATAGTAGTAAATTTTTTCTTTTATCTCCCTGTGTTTTTCGCGATCACTATCGTCCCTTTTTTTTTTTTTTGACCAACTATTTCTTTTCAATGATTGATTCATTTTGAAATTATGCATAATCGCGCGCACAACTTGTTGAGCCCATTAATCAATTATGAATTTGTATAAAATTGACTACAAGAAGAAATAATAAATGGTAGGATAGTAAAATAGGAGAAAACTGGTCAAAGTTTTTAATAAGAAATTATTTGTGTAAAGATACACTCAAATCTTTGAGTGGGCACAACTTATTTTTAATGGGTGTAGCTCTTTTTTTAGTCATGTTCAACCTGTATAAAAATATCTTCTATTTTACACGTATTTAAAGATATGTTGCATATAATTAAAAAATAGTTACATCTGGATCTCTAAATTTGTCTTTACATAATTTATTTTCTATTGAAGGAGTTTTGACCTTTTTTTTTTTGTAAAATAGTAAACATTTTAGTATTTTATAATGTAACTGAAGTTTAAAATATCTTGAAATAAAAGGAAAAAGTAACAAGAAAGGAGGAAACAAGATTGAAAAAAGGACAAGAAAAATAAAACAAATTAAAACCCATAGGAGGTGGAGCATGGATTTGATTAGAAATGAAAAAAAGAAGGATATTTTAAGTAAATTTTATTGTAATTTAGACTGTAATATTTTTTAAATTATATGTAACCTTAGTTAACAAATAATCATTTACATATTTATTGGCTTTTTTTTTTCACCAGCACATATTTATTGGCTTACAGCTCATTGTTCTTCTTCCAAATAATGTCAATCACCTTCCGCTAATTTTCAGATGTTCTGGGTCGATCTTTTCTTTTGATTTATTTAGACTTTGTTTCAATTAATTGAATGTGTAATTATTTTATTTAGATTAATTAAATTCTCTTTTTATAAAACAAATCACCTTCTATTGGTTTGTAGTTGTCAAGGGTAAGCTGTCTCATGCTCAGTGAAGGTTGTCTATTTCATCATTAATTATTGCTCTGCTCCTCTCCAGCTTTTTTTAACAATTTAAAAGTCTCTCTCATAGCCGAGGTGACCCATGCTCGCCCACCAAAATCTCCTCCCACCTCGGCTTTCTTGTAATGACATACATGAAGGAAATGCACTAGAAGGAAAGAGGCCAAAGCCTTCCCTCCCGGTTTCCCTTTGTTTTATTATCTGCTAAAAGATAGATTCTGAGACTGCCTCACTCACATTTAACTCTAATTTTGATCTGTTCCTTGTTTCTTCATTCTGGACTTCCTCTTACTCAAAACCAATCTTGCTGATATTCTAATTAATGGAGTTTGCCATGTCAAGCTCCAAACCTCCCTCTGTTTTCTTCTTTGGATTTCTGCTTCTCAGTTTCTTCACAGATTTTCCATCAAATGCTCAACTCATACCCCAACAGGAAGGTACTTTCTTCCGCTACTTGACCCTGCTTTTCATTTTAGTTTTTGTCATCCGTTTCCTTTCTCTTTTTCAGTACTATTATGTTGCCTTATGTGGAGATCTTTCTGATTTGCAAAACGTTTCATTATTGGAAGGCATATAAACACTGCAATTTTTTATTTTAATTTGGTATTCGGACTCCTGCAGAAAGAAAAAGAAACTGCTTTTATCCTTTTCTGCGCTTCATCACTCATATAATAATTGAATATAGATAGCATTAAAGAAGATAAAAATCGAGAATGATTGGGCAAGTCGATTCCAAAAAAAGATTAACTTTTGTATCACTTTCCCCTGTTTTCGAATGTACTTCTACTTCAGGTTATACAAACTTTCAACTCTTTACTGTATCTGGGTTTTGATGGGTTTCTCTTTCCAGTCATTCGCTCAATCCATTGAAACTTTCAATTATTGTTTTTACCCAAAACGGTTGAAGGTTCTGATCATAATCCATGACTTCTGAAATTATCTCTGCACTCTTTTTTGTAGCAAAAAAAAAAAGAAAATCACTAAAAAAGACGGCTGAAATGAAAAAATTACAAATAGGGGCCTATTATAATAATACTCTCAGTTTTCATAACAATTTTTTTGAACGGGTTCTATATGAAATTTTTCAATTTCAGTCAGCGGTCGTTTTTTGCGATTTTTTCAAGAAAAAAAAATCTATTAATAAACGTTCACATGCAATTGGATTATCTTATTGCAACTTTTCTTTTTGTTTTCCCAGCACCAAATAAATGGCTTCTTTTTTTTTCTTGGAGTGAAAAGGACAAACTAACAAAGCTTAAAAAACGCGGATTTGGCTCAGCCATCACATTCAGGTCAAAAAGAAACTCAGCATTCACATGCGAAACGTCCCTATCAAAAATATTATAACATCCTGCTGCAGATTCAAGGAATGTAAACTAGAAAATGAAGCCATTAGGCATGGATCTTAGTAATTTATTTCATGACTTTTGACTCAAATTCCTGAACTCATGGCCATGCCAGTACTAAATTACTAGGAGTCAAATGTGTTAAACTTCAATTTTCTTTCTTTTTTTTTTTTTTTTTTTTGGTATCCAAATACGTAACTCAAATTAATACAGTAATTGATGTGTGCGTTTATGGATTGTGATACAGTGAAGGCTTTACAGGCAATATCTGATAAGCTGACAAATGTGAAGTGGAAGGTGACACCAACATCTTGTATTAATGGAGATGGATTTGATAACCTCTTTGCTTCATCCTATGGAGTGACGAGGAATGTCACCTGCAGTTGCAATTTCCAGCACGGCACCGTTTGCCATGTCACCAATATGTATGTCTTCTTCTGCTTGCCATTCTTCAACCTCGAAGTTTTGCTATAAGTAAATGATTTGGAAACTTATAAGATGCTGAACTTAAGCGTTCTGATTAATGAATAATGTTAAAAAAGCCAGAGTAAAACATAAATTTGTGGGATCGAAAATGTCTTTAATATATACACAAAGCTATGGTTAATTTCTTTAAATGGTATGTATATACATTTTAATTTTTTAAAAAGTTATTTTATGGATTAGCGTTTAGTGATTTAACGATTTGTCACTGGTAGCCTGTTGAAAAGCCAAAATATAGCAGGGGAGATACCCAGTGAATTTGGAAATCTCACCCATTTGACTGAACTGTAAGTGATCATCCTTTTTCTTCTCTCTTGTTTTTTTTTTTTTTCCCAGTAAGCTTTTCCCTTTTGTTCAACTTTGCTTATTTGCATTCATAATCATCATGAAATGCATCCGAAATGGCCAGAAACTGACAGAAACTTACTGTAATGAGCAGTGATCTTTATCTCAACTATCTCAGTGGCCCAATTCCAACGTCTTTTAGGCATATCCCTCTCGTCACTCTGTAAGTCATAGTATATGAAAAATCCACATGCAAGCTACAAAGTCTATTATTCGCCATTTATATGTATTTGTAAATGTAGATGGAAGTTTAAATCATTAATGTCCATTTGCTTTAGGTCCCTTGCGGGGAATCGCATTAGCGGTTCAATTCCCGTTGAGTTGGGTGAAATTGCTAGTCTGAAGGATTTGTAAGTTTTTGAAATCAAAGTCAATCTCACTTTACAATGGAAAAAGAAAAAAGTGGTTGATAATGGAGCTGAATAAGTTTGTATGAATGCTTGTAGGAACCTAGAAGATAATCAGCTTGGAGGACCTCTTCCTCATAGTCTTGGAAAGTTGCCCACCTTACGGAGAATGTAAGTTGCCCAGAATGTTCTTCTACCTACCTGTTAATCCGTTTCAATTTCTAATTTTTCCATTTTATTCTGGGGCTACATGTGCGCGCATTTCATTTTGCCTTTCCAATACTTAACTTTGTTTTCTTACGAATCCATAGACGTCTTTCTGCAAATAATTTTACTGGAACAATACCAGAAACGTTTGGAAATCTGAAGAACATGATTGATTTGTGAGTAATATCAAGTGAAACAGCTGTTCTATTCAGTTCTTTTTATTTTCGTTTCTATAATAGTTGGCCAGGCCTAACTTTTCTGCAGTTCTATAGATGGGAGTACCTTATCAGGAAAGATACCAAGTTTGATTGGGAACTGGACCAAAATTCTCTCTATGTGAGCATACTTTCATTTAAATGTTTTTCTTGTTGGAGTTGAAACTAAATTTATGTTATGCTCAATTCCTTTTCATTTTATAACGGAATTTTACGTATTTGTTAGGGATATGGAGGGCACAGGCATGGAAGGCCCGATTCCTTCCACCATATCATTGTTGACAAATTTGAAAGAATTGTGAGTGTTTATTTATTTCCCTTTTTAAGCATATAAACTGTAAAATTGTATTTGATATTCAAAAGAAAATTATTTTCTTTTGATTGATGAGACATTTTGATATCAGGAGAATATCTGACTTGAAAGGAACAACAACGATGACATTTCCTAATCTGAAGAATTTGATGAGTTTGGAACGACTGTGAGTTGAAAACATTTCAAAACTGCTATACCAAGAGCTATATTATTCTCTTAGGTTTCATATGAAGCGGCTTATGTCCTTCTCTGTTCTACGACTTCAGGATATTAAGGAATTGCTTAATTACTGGCCCCATTCCAACGTATATTGGTGAAATGAAAAACTTAAAGACTTTGTAAGTTGCTTTGTATGGGCATTTTATTTGTTAAAAGTTGCGGAAATTTTCTTTTCTTTTTTGTATTATAGATGCATTTAAGGCTTCCTCTCACCATTTCTTGCACTATAATTATTGTATTCTAGGTTTTTCAGGCTAGCTAATTGGTTATTTGTCATGGTTTTACTTATTTGTGACTTAACTGCTTCATTTTCTTGCAGGGACCTGAGTTTTAACAAGTTGACCGGTTCAATCCCTGACTTATTTCAGAACTTGAATTTTGATCAGATGTAAGCAAGCATTTGAATTTGTTGGTAAAAAGTGTAATAGAAAAAATATGAATATTCTGTCAATAATAATGTTAGGTAAGTTGATCCCTTTGTCTTCATTGGGCTTAACTTGCTAGTATCATCAGTGGAACTGATATTATTTATGGATGTAGGTTTCTGACGAACAATTCTCTGAGTGGGGCAATACCAGAATGGGTCCTACAGAGCAAATATAAGATGTTAGCTTATTCCCTTCATATTTTTTGCGTCTGCAAAGTCTTTAGAGTCACCTTTTATACAACTTGTAATCTTATATTTTTCTTTCAGGGATTTATCTTACAACAATTTTACCGAGGCTTCTACATCTACTTGCCAGATCTTACAAGTGTAAGGTTCTCTTTGCTGATTGATCAAATGAGCATTTCAAATTGACCTATTTTAATGCTTGTTACTAACTACTTCCTCTTATTGATGGACAGGAACTTAGCTTCCAGTCTTTCATCTTCAACAAGAAATGCGTAAGTTCTCGCTGACGTCATACTTGTTTTAAAGTTAGTTTTAGTTATATTTCTCACCAAACAATCTATTGAAACAAACTATTAATCTTGTAGAACCTTTTGCTTGAGGAAGGGCCTACCTTGTCCAGGAAAACCTCAGTGTGAGTTGAGACTTCGAGCACGAATCATGCTTTCGTGCAACCATAAAAATTTTGAGAATCGAAGCTATGATAATTTCTCCTTGTTAACATATCATAATATTTTAATTATACAGATCATTCATTGTTTATAAATTCTGGAGGACCCAAGATGGAGTTTCAGAAGAATGAATATGAAGAAGATATCAATCAAAATGGCGTTTCATACTTCTATATAAAAGATGACAAATGGGCTTACAGCAGCACAGGAACATATATATATGATGATAAAGCTGATTACGTAGCCAGTGTACAAACAAATAAGTTTTCTTTGAATGTTAATGGCTCAGAATACTACCAAACAGCACGTCTCAGCCCTCAATCACTTAAGTACTATGGCCTCTGTATGATGAAGGGTAATTATAAAGTAAGGCTCCATTTTGCTGAGATAATGTTTTCTGACGACCAGACATTTAACAGTCTTGGAACTCGCATATTTGATGTTTCAATTCAAGTGAGTGACGAAGATCCTTACTCTACTGGAGCGTTTCATTTGCGTTCTACATTTTTGCGTCATTTCTGGTTCTGCTAGAAAACAGTGTTTGAAGACATAAATTCAATATTGTATTTTCATAGGGTTTCAAATACTTGAAAGATTTTAACATTGCAAAGGAAGCTGGTGGAGCTGGTAAGGGCATCACAAGAGAATTCAATGTTGATGTGAATGATACCACCTTGGAGATCCATTTATATTGGGCAGGGAAAGGTACTACAGCAATTCCCCAAAGAGGTGTATATGGACCTCTAATATCTGCCATCACTGTGACCCCAAGTAAGAATTTCTCATATTGTTAACTTCTTAGTTTCTTAGAAGCTACATTGATGTCAAGTAATTTAAGCATTCATTTCTGGTTGTAGACTTCAAAGTTCCTGCAAAAGGATTGTCTGTCGGAGCTATTGTTGGAATTGTGGTTGGATCATGCGGCTTCCTTGTACTTGTACTCATTGTCCTCAGAAAGAAGGGTTTCCTTGGTGGGGAAGATCCAAAAGATAGAGGTAATATTGGAGTCCAAAATAAACTATTTTTGGCGCTCATGATTTAGATTGTGCTAATATAAGGGTCAAATTTGTCAGCAGTAAAAAAGAAGGATGAGTATACATCAATGAATTACATATCTTGGAAAGGATAAAATGGTGATCATTTTACTAAAAATGCGGTTTTGGTTTATTCATTTATGGCTAAAACTGTGTTGTCTTAATTCTTGTACTCTCTTTCCCTTTCTTCTTTCTTTTGCTTGGTGCTCACACATACCCCTTTCCACGTGTTGCAGAACTTTTAGATCTGAAGACCGGTTATTTTCCTCTAAGACAAATTAAAAATGCAACCAATGACTTTGACCCTGCAAATAAGATAGGAGAAGGTGGCTTTGGGCCTGTGTATAAGGTAACACGAGATTCTAAAATATTGTAGCATGCCACTTATGCTTATACTGATTTAAATTGTTAAATGGCAGGGTGTGCTGTCTGATGGTGTTGCCGTTGCTATTAAGCAACTATCTTCCAAGTCAAAGCAAGGAAATCGTGAATTTGTTAATGAAATAGGAATGATATCTGCTTTGCAACATCCAAATCTGGTGAAGCTTTACGGTTGTTGCATAGAAGGAAATCAATTGTTGCTTATATATGAATACATGGAGAACAATTGCCTTGCTCGAGCACTTTTTGGTAAATGCTTCGTTGACAAGTTGTTTGTGTAAAATACCTGCTTCTGATTTGAAATATGCAACTTGAAGGCATATTTTCTCTTCTCTTAGTTGTTTTCTTAACTTTTCAGGCTGTGATGAACAACGGATACACTTGGACTGGCCCACAAGAGTAAAGATTTTTCTTGGGATAGCAAGGGGATTGGCTTATCTTCATGAGGAGTCAAGGTTAAAAATAGTACACAGGGACATTAAGGCGACAAACATCTTACTTGATAAAGAACTAAATGCCAAAATCTCTGATTTTGGTTTAGCGAAGCTTGACGAAGGAGAAAATACCCACATCATCACCCGAGTAGCTGGAACAATGTATGTATTGTGCCATATTATATTATATGCTTGATTGATTACTTGTAAAAAGGTTATCTTCTTTATACACTTCTGGCTTACTCTCATATATGATCCTAGGAACTGTTAATATTTCATATAGTAAAATCTCTAATTAGTGGGCACTCTATGTTTTCTTTTTAGTGGTTACATGGCTCCTGAATATGCAATGAGAGGTTACTTGACAGATAAAGCAGATGTTTATAGCTTCGGAGTTGTTGCTTTGGAAATTATTAGTGGAAAGAGCAACGCAAGTTACGTGCCAATGGATGACTTTGTTCATCTTCTTGATTGGGTAAATTAAATTTTTTTGTGGTTAGCAAAAATTTGTGGCTCTAGTGAGTTTCTAATGATTGAAGTATTTCTCAAGAGAATTTAGGTGCATATATACTACGTTCACTCTCTTCGCAGTCCTTCAAAATCAAATAATAAGATGCCTAGCTAAATTTACTTATAAAAACAAAGAAAAAACTACTATATAAGATAATTTTTTTGTCTTTTCTAATGTATATAGTGGGTGAAATCTTAATTCATACATCTTTATATGTCATTGAAGGCCTATGTTCTCCAAGAGGAAGAAAAGCTTTTAGAGTTGGTGGATCCACGTCTTGGTTTAAACTACTCCCAAGATGAAGCCATGAGAATGCTAAATTTGGCTCTTTTGTGCACTAATCTATCTCCCACCCTCAGACCCTCCATGTCATCTGTAGTGAGCATGCTTGAGGGAAAAACTCCAATCCAAGCACCAATAAACAAGCATAGAGATCAATATGCAAGGTTCAAAATGCTGTCGTATGACAGCCAGACATTTGTAGCCTCTCAATCAAGTACGGAACAAAGAGGCAAGTCAACGGATGGGTCATGGGTTGACTCCCCAATATCTCTTCCGAGTAAGGATGATTTTTCTTCATCTAATAAGCTTCTTGAAGATTAAAATCTAATGGTTGGAAACCGTAGTTATAGAATTTGTATTATGTTATAATAATGATATTGAAAATATAAGTTGTTTTTATTTATGTTTGTGAATTATTTAGGTTTATCTTATTTAACTTTTCAATAATTACACTTAGAGCTCTGTAAATAATAGTAAGATGTTTGTCTTTTGCTTCTTATAGTTTCTCTATGTTTCTCCCCCTTTTCTTCTCTCTTCTGGAGTTTAATCAATTTTAGTGTTATAGCTCCAACTCTTTGATTTATATTAGGCATCAATTAACATTGCATTTGTTACCAACTAAAGTTTGCAACTGTACGATATTATAACCCAAAAACAGAACAGCCCAAGGCTTGTACTCAACAATTTATATAGTTTAACAATAGGCTATGTTCTTTTGTTGCCAATTTCTTGATAGCAGCTTTTTTCTTGTTTTGTTTAAGGATGAAAGGATCAACATATAGTTACGATGTGCAGTGGTAGAACAAGCATCTACGTTCAAAATGCAATAGTCATATATATGATTAGCGTACCTTGATCTAGTGAAGAGAAAATTCCAAAGCAAAAGAAGTCTATTTCACGGTGCTTCTCCTTGACTGAAGTATAAAGAAATGATGAATAGAGTCGTCTTTTGTGGCTCTTTCCTTCGATATGTCTACTGCAAACTTTTTAATTCCTTCAAACTTCATCCTTGTGTTGTTCCCAATCGCACTTTGCTTCAAACCAGAGGCCAGGGACGGAACAGGGAAAGAAGGTGAATCCAGAAAGTTCAATCTCATTCCATTCACAGAGCTCTTTTTTTTTTGACCTAAACCTTCACAGAGCTTGAGGTTAACAGGATGCATAGGCTTGGGCCTAATCACTCACATTTGGGCCAAACCTTATAATTAAATCTATAATACTATTGACATTCTCGGCCCTAAACAATGAAGTGCAAAAATCATTTTTAGACATTCAGCAGAAAAAAAAGAAAGTATTTTAGACACATGATTTAAATTTAATATAAAGGTGACCTTCACATCGTTCGGGAATCATAAGTACTTGAGGATCCGATGAATCAGTGGGCAAAACGTTATTTTTAACTGACAAGACTAACAATTCTACAGTCTACTACTAATCACAATAGAAATGTACCCATACATGACCCGTTCCAGATAGTTCTGAGAAGTATATATCAGGGTTTGGCATCATAAGAGAATTTATAGTACAATATTAACGTAATATATCCATCAAACTATGGCAAGACAAACACGTTTAACTTGAGGAGGCCATGTTTAAGATATATGCAGCTACTTGGTTTTCTCCCAGGAAGAAGAATCTTTACTGGCCATGGGTTGACGAGTTTATGGCCTGATTAGTCTCATCTTTATCAGCTTCTTCTTTCATGACCAATTTCAGTTTCAAGTCATCATCCATAATCTCACTTTCATCATCTGAGACTACCTCCAGATCAGCAGGCCTGCCTTCAAGAATGCTAAGCACTTTAGACATGGTAGGCCTGAGTTTTGGAGAGTTTTCAGTGCATTGGAGAGCCATATCAATCACAGTCATTATTTCCTCTCTATTAAAGTCCTCACCCAACTTTGGATCCACCAAATCCATCAGATTACCTCCGTCTTTCAACTGATGTGCCTGATAAAAACAGTACATATAAATGGAAGCCTTATAAGCCAGTGTACACAATTTAATTTGGAAAAGCTGAGCTATCTACTTAATTAATTGGGACGTAGGATACCCAATCACGCAAATAAAAGCATTCATCCTCTGACTTTTGCGTGGTGTTGACCTTGCCACTGATAATTTCCAAAGCAACGATTCCAAAACTATAAACATCTGCTTTCTTAGTCAAATATCCATGCATTGCATATTCAGGAGCCATATAACCACTGCATAATAAAATTTCATTCATAAAATGAGAGTTAGTAAAGCCAAATGCCCTGCATTTTTGTTTCTTTGTATTGTATTGCCTTCAATCAAAATTATTATCAATTTCATAAAGGAGATGTCCACTACCATATTTGCATTTTCATCTCCCACGTGTTATCCAAACAAACATAACTAAAAAAACATTTAATAAGTTACCGGTTAATACTAACTAACTAACCGAGTTCCAGCAATTCTGGTGCTAATGTGTGTATTTTCCTCCTCGTAAAGCTTGGCCAAACCAAAATCAGATATCTTGGGGTTGAGGTCTTTATCAAGCAACACATTAGTAGCCTTGATATCTCTATGAACAATTTTAAATCTTGATTCTTCATGAAGGTAAGCCAAACCTCTAGCAATCCCAACACAAATCTTGTGTCTTGTTGGCCACTCCAATTTTATTTGGAGTTCTTCTGGGCCTTTGGTTTTTTTAATAAAACACGAATTAGATTCCATTCTCACATAGCCTTGATATAAGATAGTGGATCGTCATAAAGCAAAGCAGGCCAAAAACATTTAGTACTTTACCCAATAAAGCATAAGCAAGACTATTGTTATCCATAAACTCATATATGAGCAACAACTGGTCTCCTTCAACGCAACAGCCATAAATCTTAACAAGACAAGGGTGTTGCAAAGCAAAAATCATGCCTATTTCATTTAGAAATTCACGATTTCCTTGCCTTGATTTAGCAGATAGCTGCTTAACTGCAATTATTCTGCCATCTTTGAGAATGCCCTGTGTTTTTGGATATAAGACATAAAGTTATAGGAAAGATGAAATGGCTTTTGATTTAGGTAAGCAAGAGTCGCAAATTGATCATGCATGCAATTTAATAGAACATATCATCTTGTAACAACCTTATAAACAGGACCAAACCCTCCTTCTCCAATCTTATTGTCAGCATTGAAGTTGTTGGTTGCTGCATTGATTTCCTTTAAGGTAAATATACCAGTTTTAAGATCCAAGCCCTTAAGATCTGTTTATAAAAGAAATAAAAGATTAGAGAGCTAGAATCTCCATTACTTGATATACTGATAGTTGAAGATCATACATAAGGTGAAAATACATCAGACACCAAAATTCATACTGTAGAAATACAAAGCCCATTTCCAAGGGAAAAAAGTTATCCATGAAAAGATTGGTTAGCATGACAAAAATAACAGCTACTTTGTAATTAAAAGTATATTGTTAATAAAGTTTTATTAGCAAAACCTAAATTAGCTTATTTTATGCTTCAATATTACCTATGTCTTGTGAATCTTTCCTATCAAGGAAACCATTCTTTCGAAGGATAATGAGTAACACCAGTATGAGGAATGCACATAATCCAACCACAATTCCAACAACAGCTCCGGCAGAAAACCCTTTTTCATTCCTTTGTGAAGGAACTTTGAAGTCTGCAACCAAGAATAAATGCTTACACCACATAACATGATGTAGTTTATAAGAAAACAGTAAGTTACATAATAATGTGAAAAATACTACTTACTTGGCATCACTGTGATAGCAGATATTAGAGGTCCGTATACACCTCTAGTGGGAATTGCAGTAGTTCCTTTCCCTGCCCAATATAAATGAATCTCCAAAGTGCTATCGTTCACATCAACATCAAATTCCTTAGTGATGCCCTGACCAACTCCACCAGCTTCCTTCGCAATATTAAAATCTTTCAAGTATTTCAAACCCTGTGAAAATGTAATAATAAATCTATAGCTTCAAAACTACTATGTTCTAGCAAAAACAGCTAGGACATTTGACAAAAATGTAAGAAGCAATTGAAACAATCAGATAGAGTGCGTTTCTTTTCATCACTCACTTGAATTGAAACATCGAATATGCGTGTACCAAGGCTGCTAAATTTTTGGTCACCTGAAAACATTATCTCTGCAAAGTGGAGCTTTACTTTATAATTACCCTTCAGCATGCATAGGCCATAATACTTAAGTGACGAAGGGCTGAGACGGGCTGTTTGATAGTATTCTGAGCCATTAACAAACAAAGAAAACTTATTTTTTGTCACACTTGTTACATAATCAGCTTTATCATTAAATATATATGTTCCTGTGCTGCTATAAGCCCATTTGTCATCTTTGATATTGAAGTACGAAATGCCATCTGGATTGGGATCTTCTTCATATTCATTCCCCTCAAACTTCATCTTTGGTCCTCCACAGTTAATGAACAACGAGTTATCTGTATAATGGAAATATTATGATATGGTATCAAGGAGAAATTATCGCAGCTTTGCTTACCAAAATTTTTGTGGTGTACAAATTAAAAACATGATTGATAGACAAAATCTCAACTCACATTGAGGTGTTCTTGGACAAGGTAGGCCCTTCTTGAAACAGAAGGTTCTATAGAATCAATAGTTTGTTTCAATCGATGATTCCAAGAGATATAACTGAAACTAAATTTTAAACAAGTTTATGGCAAGAACTTACGCATTTGTTCCTGATGATGAAAGACTGGAAGCTAAGTTCCTGTCCGTCAATAATAGTAAGTTGAGAATTACAAAAGTGAACATTGGTTAATTTGAAATGCATGCTCATCTAATTGATAAACAAAGAGAAGCTTACACTTGCAAGTTCTGGCAATTAGATGTAGAAACCTCAGTAAAATTGTTATATGATAAATCACTGAAAGCAAATATCATGAGATTAAAAGTTTAGCTTCTTCAATAATATGGGACTTTGCAGTTGTATGGAAGGTGACGCTAGAATTATAAAATGGAGAGATATTAAGGGAATAGGCTAACATATATTCTCTGTTCTCCACCACCCATTCTGGAATTTTTCCACTCAGATAATTGTTTGTCAGAAACCTGCATCCACAATTAACTTTAGTCCCCTAGTGCTATTAATAATTTTCATTTTTGAAAAAAGTGAAAACTTATATTCATTTCAAAATCTATTTACATCAAAAGAAGGAGCATACAGGCTCTCCTAAATATTAAATCTCGCTCATATAGCCTTTGTATGTCTATTCCTTTCTGTTAACAGATTTTTCCATCTAACTTTGAGATCGTTGATCACCCTATAACATAACCTATCGCAACTGGAACTTTCATGCTTGAAGATAACATCATTCCTAGCCTGCCAAATTACATGTATAGCTGCAAAACCAAAACATAGCCACTCTTGTCTTGAAGATAGGATGCGATTTGTGGCGTGACTTCAAGAACACATGTTACTATGTCAAAATCAACCCATTTCACTAGAATCCTCATTACTTCAGTTTAAATTTTCCATTCAAAAATAGAGATGGTCTGTGGTTTCACGGTCATAGGACACATCGGTCATTATGAACAAAAATACTAGAGCAAAGAAGCCCAGTGTCCAGATTGCGCCGGATACTAATAGTTTAACCCAAAAAAAAAAAAAGGACCAATAACATCCAAACCCTTCTTTGAAAAATAAAGCACTAAACCCATCCCACTGATGATTATTATTGATAAGATATCCACATTATTTTCTTTAACACTTCTTACCAACAAATGCTAATGTTTGCTTACATGTGATTAAAATGCAACTCTTGAAATGAGTTCGGTATTGAACCAGTCAACGTGTTAAAACTTAGGTCCCTGCAAGAAAATGAGATAACTCGGATGCAAATTAGTAAATAAGGACCAATAATCAATTAGCTAGTCTTAAATCAATTATTATACTAGGAAATGGTGAGAGAACGCCTTAAATGCATCCATTAAATATAAAAGAGTTGAAAATCTTGACAATCTCTTTAACTGCCTAGTCAAAGCAGCAACTTACAAAGTCTTTAAGTCTTTCATTTCGCCAATGTACTTTGGAATTTCACCAGTAATTGAACAATTTCTCAGTACCCTGAAGTCATAGAAAGGAGAATTATCAGCCACTTTACACAAAACCCAAATGAATAATAGAGATTTTAGCATAATGGTAGAAAAGTTTTTAACTCACAGTCGTTGCAAACTCTTCATATCCTTCAAATCAGGAAATTTCATAGTTGTGTTTCCACTCAAATCAGATACTCTCCTGAAATAAAAATGTTTCTTTAATTAAAGAGAAAGAACCATTTACTGAAGAGTAAATTCCAAAACAATTTACAACATATGTGCTGCTGCTTCGAAGGAAAAATGAGCAACCCACAATTCTTTCAAATTTTTCAACAAAGATATGGTGGAAGGAATAGGGCCTTCCATGCCTGTGCCCTGCATATTCCTGATAAAAACATAAATTTCTCTAAGGAAGTGAACAGGATGAGTACAATAAGAAATCTTTAAATTCAAGGATACTCACAAATAAATACATTCTGTCCAATTCCCAATAAAACTTGGTATCTTCCCTGATAATGTGCTCCCATCTATCCTACTGCAGAAGTTGTGAGGAGTGATCTAATCTCAGTATTTAATAAGGACTTAACTAAATATGAAAATAAAATTGATAAGAATTAAAAACTAAACAGAACAGTTGCGTCGCATGATGTCACTCACAAATCAGTAAGGTTCTTGAGATTTCCAAATGTTTCTGGTATTGTCCCTGTAAAATTATTTGCAGAAAGAAGTCTGCATTTTGATGCAAAAACAAAGTCAAATATTAGGAAGCGCCAAAAGAAAATGCAGGAAACAGAGAATGGAAAAAATCAAAAGGACAATTTACAATCTTCGTAAGTTGCTCAAATTTCCAAAACTTTGAGGAAGATGTCCTCCGAGCTGATTATCTTCCAAGGCCCTATGACATCAAATACAAACTTATTCAGCTTCTCTATCAACTATCTTTCTTTCCTTTTGTTTTCTTTCTTGACAATTTTGAAACGAGAGTGGATTTCACTCCAAAACTTACAGCTCCTGTAGAGTAGCAATTTCACCAAACACAGAAGGAATTGAACCACTAATTCGATTTCCCACAATGGACCTGAAGCGTATATAGTGAATTCAATTTTAAAAATACATCACGCATGAAAATTATTTAGTTTCAACTAGGACCAAACTGGAGAACTTCCCTATTTGCATGCCTTGTTCATATTTGACAACTTACAGATTGGTAATAGGGATGCGAGTAAAATACGTTGGAATTGCACCATTCAGATAGTTGTAAGTGAGATCACTGCTCAACACAACAGTAAGTTTCTGTCAGTCTTTATTAGATTCTGGTGTATGGTTTTACAATGATGATGCAATCAAATAAGCCCCTGTGTGTGCAGATATATGTATATCTGTGTGTGATCACTTACATGATATTCAGCTGGGTGAGATCTCCGAGTTCAGCGGGGATAACTCCATATATATTCAGGCCTCTCAGCATACTATGTACCATTGAAAAATTGTTCTATCATTAATTAAACACGTCTAATCATTAAAAAATGCAGCATACAATTTAAAGAAGTCTTGTGGGTTTGTGTATAATTGAGAAAATTGAGTTAATTTGTTCAAGTTTTTCATGAGAAAACTTTTGTTTACCTCACTGATATAACTTGAATCATTTGCTTTTAAATGGTTTAAATTGGAAATTTTCATGATAGTAAAGTAATAGATAGACCAAAATACTTTTTTTTTTTTTACATATTTTGAATATATATTTCAATTTTTTTTAAAATTATGAATTACAATATCAATATTAGCTCTTAATAATGAATTAATTGGCAAACTTACTAATTTAGCAACTTGATCATTCACTTTTAGGAAAATATTGTCTAACCTAAACCACGATGTAATATTTTGGCCAAAAAAAACTATGATGTAATATTAAATACTCTTATTTTATAAGAAATTATTCATTCGCTTTTATGTTTATTTTGACTCTAAATGTAAAATCTCAATTTATTTTGACTCTCAAATTTATAATTTTTCTTAAAATATTCTTATTAGTTATATATGTTAAGAATCCCATTAAATGATAATTTCAATACTGATTGATAAATGAATTTTAGGAAAGCGAACACTCATTTATTACAAATGACTAATTTAATTATTTTTTTGATATTTTTAAATTAATTATTTAGCTTAAGTATGGAAAGTAGTATAGCAGCAAAATTAAAGGTAAGTAGAGGAAGAAGATCACATACAGATTAGTGACATGGCAAACGGTGCCGTTTTGGAAGGAGCAATCGCAAGTGACATTGCTGGCAAGTGTAAAGAAATCACTGAGTTGATGCATATTAATAATGTAATTATTAAATCCCTCATTTGCATTAATGCAAGATGTCTGTGTAACCGCCCAATTTACGTTGTCGTATTCATCAGATATTGCCTGAAGAGTGTCCACTGTATTGCAAAAATGAGCATGATTAAAATAATACTCTTCTGATTCTATTCATAGGTCACTTCCAACATATTTTATATAGGCAAAAAAAAAAAATACTAAACTTTGTTAACTCTCGTTTAAAATTCAACAACTTTCTAACTTTATCCCTATTTAATATATATTATACTTCATATAAACAAAGTCAACACAGTATTAAATAAAAGGATTAAATTGTAAATCTATATAAAAAAATTCTCTCACTGCTCTATAAATATGAACAAAACAATGTCTTCTTTCTTTGCCTTATAAATAAGGCCAGAGGAGTATATTTTAATTCAAATATATTAAAAATATTTACATGCAACCTTAAAAATAGTAATATTTAAATTAAAAAAAATATTAATCTATGAGTAAATGGATTATTCATGTATAAATAACATATAATCTGAAAAAAATTAATAAAGTTAAAGTACTGATTTTTTTTCGTCTTTTAAATTCAAAGTGAAAATGTTTCAGGGCTTTTTTTTTGTCAAAGTGAAAATGCTTCAGGGTTAATAATAAGGGGAAAAAACATAAAATCTGACTCGTATAAACTCTTAGACTAGATTAAAATTAAATATTGGTTTGACTCAAGTTGAGTTTTAATAGCATATATTATATTTTTGAGAAGCTTTCATATCAAAACCAATTGAGAGGTATTTTGTATTAAGGACGACATAGAAAATCAACCAAGAAAACACTTGTAAAATCGGCTCAATGCGGGTAAATAATTGACATCTCCAGCAAATTTTCTTACCCTATATTTGGATGTGGATGGGGAGAAAATTAGGAAGGACAGAATACCAGGAAGAAAAGCTTCCAAAAATAATAAATTTTTTTAACTATTTTATTAAAAGTTTTTCTTCATTAATACTCCCTCCTATTTTTCTTCCACCTTTCTCTCCATCAAAACATAACTTTAAAAAAAGCGTAAGTAGTGAGATGTAGAAGAATTTAATATAATAAACAAAACTAAGATAGAGTCAAAAGGTAAATCCATGACAATAGAATTTAAAACCTGATGAATTAACTATGAGGAGTATACGTTAGAGAACAATACGTAAAAAAGTTAATGGTTGGGAAAACAAGAAGGAAAATGGAAGATTAATGAATTTCTGATGGATTCTGAAACACCCGTCTAGCTCACCGACAGAAGAAGACAAAATTGAAAGTTCATAATATCTGCAAGAACATGCACTTAGAAAACAGAGGAGCGATGTAAAAGTTATAATCTTTTTGAAACCAACTACACAATTTCTATTTTGTCATCTAGCCTTTCTTATGTATGTTGTGTGTGTGTGTGTGTGTGTTTTTTTTTTTTTTGGGGGGGGGGACGAGTTTAAGGGAGGAAAAAAGATGATACTATGATAGTGGTCAAAAAGAGAAAAGGCAATGGCGACAAAAGTGAAATGAAATTAAAAGCAGAGACCTTCATGTAGGGGAATAAGTTGAGCGTTGGATGGGAAATCTGTGAAGAAACTGATCAGAAGCAGAAATCCAAAGAAGAAAATTGAGACAGATTTGGAGCTTGACGTCGCAAACTCCATTAAAAGAGGCCACCGAGGTTGATTGGTTTTGACTTGTGAATAAGATGAAAGGATGGAGCCAGGGCAGCTAAAAGCAAGATACACAGAAAAGGTGAGGAAGCTCAAGTGACTTGTAGTACTTGGAAGAAGGAGACGACAACCACTTATAGAGCTGTAAGCCGTGGACTTAAAATACCATAAATTTTTTGTTTCTATATAGACTTGATTATACTCAAATTTTAATTTAATTAATAAACGCGAATCAAATTCCAGATAATATTAAAAAATTAAATATATTTTTATTCAATTAATATATTCTTTTTTACTATCTTTTCGTATATTTTCTCTCAATTTTTTCTCCCTCTTACCTGCCCACTTATAAATAAAAACTTATTTTTTTAAAAATATAATTCTTACATATTTTTAAAATTTTAATTAATTTTAACAGTTTTTTTGAATCACGCAAGTTGTACATTTAGATCTCACCGATAGGAGTAAAAATTAGAGCATTTATTAGGAGCCAATGTTTTGAGAAAAAGTTTTTTTTTTTTTCCAGTTGAAAAGACAAGCGTTGCTGATAAAACATTACAACCCCGATATACGAAGGTAACTTACATGCCATTATGTCATAAAATGACTGATGAGAAAAAATATTTAAAATAATAAAGTTAAAATAGATGTATAACATAAAGTAAATTTTGGCCTGTTTTCTTATCTTTTAATATGACACAGCATATTAGTATTATACAAAAAGGTTATTACAACTCTTTTTGCCCCTAATTATCGGCAGAGCATGGTTTGTATAGAAACTGTGAGTTACAAGATGACAAAAATTAAAAGTAAAGACTTTAGATATCATTATTACAATATGACATAAATACAAAGATTTTTTTTAATAATTACAACAAAACAAACTACTTTAATTATTACAACAAAACGAATTGTATTATCAACTCTGAATGTTGTAAATTTCAAAAAAATAATCTGAAGGAATATGGTAAACAATCTTGAGGGCCATGATTACTTGGACCCTTTTTTTGGGATACCATCTCTATCTTATTCTTATTTATATGAATCATTTATAGGATATTTTAAAATTTTTATTAATTATTTATTTTAATAATGAATGTATTCCTTCTATTTCATAGCATACAAGTCACTTCTAAAAAGATAACTTAATTTAAAAAATAAATCAGTTGAAGAGTACTCCTCTGATCTTATTTATATAAGATAGAGAGAAGGTTTGTTTTGATTCTATTTATAAGTAACTTTATTAAATTTTTAATATAAAAGTACTATTTTGTTATTCATTTATTATACTCTAAATAATTATTCTTTTAAAAGATGTATATATTAAATGAGGGTAAATTTGAAAAGTTGTTATATTTCAATAGAGAGTTAATGCAGTTTAAAATTTTTCTTAGTCTATATAAAATATGTTAAAAGTGCTTTATAAATAGGCTCAGAGGAGTAATTAACACTTGTCTATTAATTTTGTCATTGCAACTAATACTTAAATATACTCGTAACTCCTTATATTTTTCTCTCTCTTTCATAACTTCATTTAATATGGATAAAGCTGCAAAAGGTTTTCGATTTGAAACACATTTAATGAATCAACTATATTTTTTTGCATTGATAAATTGGTTAATGGTTAAAATAATTTATATTGTGAACTGAAGGAATTATTTATTATCTCATTTTTTGCAATTCATTCATCTCATAAGTAAAAGCATTTTTTAAAAAACTTATAATTTTTAATTATTTTTTATTTTTAATCAAATTTAACAAATTTTTTTAAAAGAAAATCATAATCAAATTCTAAAAATAAAAGATAATTATTAAAAAGTCCAAATAACAATCTAAATAATATGTAGTGACAAGTTTTAAAATAAAAAATTACAATTTTTGACATTTATTTTATAATTTTTTTTTTAGAATCTCATGATAATTTTCTTGTTTTTCTTATCCATGTGATTTGTTCCAATATTTTTTATTAAAAAGAAAAAAGGACACGGGAAGCAATTAGATTAGCACCGACAGTGCCTACAGACAAGCAGATGACTCGGAGACTTTAGTAGTCTCTGCTTAATAATTGCATGGATCCACCAGTGGTGTGCCGCATCAGTCTCTGTCTCGTCTTGGTGCTTCCCCCTTATGAAGATTTAAAAAAAAAAAAATTCCATTTTAATTTCCTATAATTAATATAATGTCTTAATACAAAAGTCATAAAATCCCTCTCTCATATATTTTTCTCGTCCTATTTATATTGAAAAAAAGAAATAATCTTATTTATAGGTTATTTTATAAAATTTTTAGTCTAAATATATTATTTTCTCCTTTATCTATTCTGGTGTAGATAATTTTTTTTAAAAGTGTATGTATTAAATATAAGTAAAGTTAGAAATTTTTATTTTATATAAAATATATAAAAAGTACCTTAAAAAATCCGTTATAAATAATATTAAAAGAATATCTTGTAAATAAATAGGATCAGTAGAAACTTGAGGGCCCATTCGGCACCCCCCTATAAAGAATCAACGGACTATTTTCTCGCCGGGGGCAAAATTATGCGTGTGGGTCATAGTTCTTTAATTAAGAAGCGACGTACGTATTCTTCTCTTTATTATCACAACTAGTTGTTAAATACTCCTCCGGTTACTTTATAATGTGATTTATATTATAAAGTGAGTGTTACATTTAGAATCGGAAGAGTACATATTTTATATAAATTGACTGCAAAACAATATTTTATATAAGCCAAGAAGATTAAATCAACAGAGTTAAGTGAAAAACTCATAATTTTTAAATGACCCTTTATCAAACAAAAAAACGAAAATATTTTTCCACCATGATTATCCAAACAAGCTTATGAAATCGTTCGTGGAATTGTATCCTTCAGCCGACTTTCAGAAAATTAAGAAAAACGCTTCGTCATCAGATTCATATTAATTACGCGTTACATTATGGAAACTTGTGAGTGGGATCGTTGTGTGCCAAAAAACCCCAAAAAAAAAAAAAGTCGGTTGCTCAAATATGTGATAATAGGATCGAAAAAAGCCGGATACGGGATAATTGTATGAAAGAAATTTCATATTGATCCTTTTGTGATTAAAAGCAAGAAAACGATGTGATGCTCGACGCTGATGTTCTGATTCAGTGGGTGATGAATTTTACAAGAGAATATTCAACTAAGAAATTGTGGAAAGCAGTTACTTCCAGATATGGTATACATATGCAATGAGTTATATCCATGAAGCGTGTAAATATTGTGACTCGTTACTCGCACAAGTGAAATGAAACAAAAAAATGGGGGGCTGAGGTTGACTTAAATTAATTCAAGAGGAACGATGTCCACTCGATTTCTGTTGAAGTAAATATGATGAGGTCTAAGAAATTGTTCTCTCCAACACAGTTTATTAAACTATGATGTATATCAGGGGGAGATGAGAAAACCTTTCCAATATTTAACTGTCTTCTGCAGTTGTTCTCTTGTAGCATAAAGAGAAAATAAATTTTTTAATCCTGTTTATAAGACAATTTATTAAATTTTTAATATTTATGTACTATTTTATCTTTTATTTATTAGTGTCTAGATAGTTATCTTTTTTAAAAAGTGTATTTATTATTACATAAGAGTAAGGCTGAAAAGTTATTTTTAACTAGTAAAGAGTTAATATAGTTTAAGATTTTAATTTGTAAGTGCTTCTTCACAGACTCTCCTGCAAACGCTCAACTTCTACCCCAAGATGAAGCTAATTTCTCCACTACTGCTCTCTGCTTTTCATTCGACTCTGGTCTTCATCTTTCTTTCCTTTGGTCTTCTGCTTGAAAATGTTTCCTTCTCGTTTCTCAAACGTTTTCCATTATTGGAAACCGCAGAAACTCTGCAATCTTGTTCTTGTCTTGTTTATTCGCAGCCCTGCTGAAAGAAACTACTTTTAAACTGATAAACTCTTGTGTTCTTCATCACTGTAAAGATTGATATAGAAAGCCTCAAAAAGGGCGAATATTTGCAATGATTTACTAGAAATTGTTTAATAGTGCAAGTGGGTTTGAAAAAGATTAAACTTTTGCATCCAATTCCTCTGTTTTTAAACTTTGATCACTTGTTCTGTGTCTGGGTTCCTGATGGGTGTTTCTTGATCCGTGAGGATTCACAGGTTCATAAATCTTGCCGGAATCATCTTATTTTCCGACCATTTACTCAAGCCGTAGAGTTATGATTGTAACTTGTGTTATAGTTTCATGTTTTTTCCGCATTCATCTGCTTCTAATGGCGGATTCTTAATCATATATGAGTCTGACTCGTCTTTCCTTTGACCCTAATTTGCTGGGATTATGCTATTTTACTGGTTGGGTTTATTATTTTTAATTGTTTTGGATCATAATTGATGTACTTTAATGGAGGACCACTACCCTCTTTGTCCAACAGGGGATCAAGGTACCATAGCCGTCGTTGTCATTTTTGGTTTTTTCCAAAAACATTATCTGCATCTCCAGCAATCAAAATTTAATGCATTAATTGATTATATATATATATATATATATATATATATATAATTGGTCTAGTTCAAATAATTGAGAAAGCATCAAACTGATGGTACTCTGAAAACCTAACAGACAAAGTACGCTATTTATAGTGATTGAAAGTGAAATATTTCACAAATACGTGTGGACCCCAATGGCCAAACAATAGTATAAGCTCTGAAACTATAACAATTATTTATCTTTGAAAGCCACTTTTCCTTTTATGGATTTACACCGTTGGATTGCTTCTTTTTTGGTTTTACATGAAAGACTTTTGTTTCCCTTTGAAACTGGCGTGCGTCTGACTATACCAAGTGTGAGAAACCAGTATATTTTTTTTAGGTGAGTTGAGATACAAAAACTCATTAGAATTAGGTCACCACTCATTAACAAAATCCTTATATCAGTAGTAAAATCCGAACTCATGATTTTACGGGTTATGAAGTGGCTTTTTACTAATTAGACTAATTACTGCTCACAAAAAAGCCATAATTTTTATAGTTTATAAGTGTGAATTTTGTCAGATACATATATATATATATATATATACACA